GAAATCTTAAAATGCCTGTAAAATTCTGAATAATTGATCTAAATAGATATGAAGGAGAGGTCCATCTAATACCATGATTCTCAAACTTTACCATGCAACAGAATCAACTGGAGAGCCTATTCAAGCAAACTGCTGTGCCCCATCCCCAGAGTTCCCAATTTAGCAGGTGGAACCCAAGAATTTGCATTTCTAACAATTTCCCAGGTGATGATATTGCTGCTCATTTGGGGACCACATACTGTACTTTTGATGATGTACTGTATCTCAGGATATTGATGTTCTGTATCCAAGGACCTGAATAACAGGTTTTGTTCAATATTTTGCTAATGATTTTGTCAAATATGTAGAAAGAATGACTACAAATCCACAGATATTAACTTTTGATATTAAAAGATCTCAATAGGCTAGTTATAGAACACATCTCAAAATTTATTAGGGATAATCTTAAAATCCTAAAACAAAACCAACCATACAGATATAGGATAAGAAAAACAGAGCTTAGTAATCACACACACACAAAAAAAAGCAGGGGAGGTGGGAATACACAGAGATTATAGAATCCTGTAGCTTCACTGATTTGGAAATATATACTAGCTACTGAAAAAGGTTTAACAGTTTGGGCTTTATTAATGAATTATAGAATTTGAAACAATGTATTTGATAACAAAGCTACATAATTATACTTATTCTGTACCCCTAGGTATCTCTGTATTTAATCTGGAATATCAGATATGAAAGAGAAGATAGCTAAACCAGTTCAAAGAAGATTTCTGGATCTACAACTATATCACATAAGAAGAATAAGAATAAGGAACTATTGATGTCTGGCTTTCAGAAGATTTGGAGAAGTGTAAGAGCAGTTTTCATGTAATTGGCTTGTGGATAAGAATTTGTTTTTTTCCTGTGTGACCCTAAGCCAAACTTCAGATATAGTTGTCAGGCTGCTTGCTATCCACAGGTGTCCAACTAAGGAGAACAATGGGAAGGGGAAAGCTAAATCCGGCTTACGTTTTATTTGATAAGCTGTGTGCCTTGGTAGGGGCCAAGTCCAGATGGGAAAATAGTAAACTTTCTCTAATTCAGATAAAAGGGGCAACTCTAGAGGGCTTTTTCCTTTTACTGAGAACATCTTTTCTAATTTGCACAAAAACACAATATAGACTGGTGATGACGCTAACCCTAAGGTAGAACTAGGTCTATTAGAGGAAATTTAGAAAGTCATTTCGGTTCAGTGTAAGAGACTGACAGAGTGATGTATTGTATGGAAATGTATTTTCTGAAGAGTAGTTAATCTTCCAAATTGGATGTTCAAGCAATGGCTGGACAATTACTTGGCAGGTTTTTTATAGAAAAGATTTCAAGGTGGAGGAATGTGTGAGCATGTCTATGTTGTTACCAGGTGTGTGAAGAAACTCAGTGATCTTTTAGCTTCTAGTATTCCTCACCTGAACTACCTGCCTATCTTCTTCTTCATATTCCATTTCATTCCCATGGTATCCAGAACTCTTCTTCTCACAAACTTACCAGGTGTTCTAGCCTTCCCACTACCTACCCAGATTCTTCCTGTCTCCCTTTTTTCTCCTTTCCCTGCCCCAATAACCAGAAAGCATACATACTACTGATAATAAGCTTTGTAATTTTTTTTTTTTTTGAGACAGAGTCTCGCTCTGTCACCAGGCTGGAGTGCAGTGGCACAATCTCGGCTCACTGCAACCTCTGCCTTCCCGGTTCAAGCGATTCTTCTGCCTCAGCCTCCCAAGTAGCTGGGACTACCGGTGTGCGCCACCACACCCAGATAATTTTTATATTTTTAGTAGAAACGGGGTTTCACCATGTTGGCCAGGATGGTCTCAATCTCTTGACCTCATAATCCGCCCACCTTAGCCTCCCAAAGTGCTGGGATTACAGGTGTGAGCCACAGCACCTGGCCAGCTTTGTATTTTTTAAAAACTACTTTCTTCCAGATTTAAACAAACAAAAATACTTGAGATGAAACTTATTTTTTAAATTGTTTTAACATATTTATTAGAGAAAGCTGTGTTTCATTTTTTAAATGATTTATGTATCAATCACTGAAAGTCAGAAGTTGAGGGGTGGATGGTTCTTTTATACCAGAAAGAGTATGGATAACTTCTTTATCCATGCTATGCTACTTAAGTAAAAAGATGTCTTTTGGAAAAGAGAACGCCAGAGATAGTGAAATAAACATGAAAAATTTTAATCAATTTTTTTTTTGTCCCATGAGTACTAAATGCATGATACTGGGTTAAGAAGTAATGATTAAGGTAATATATAAGTATTAAGAAGCAGAGCCAACAATAGGCAAAATCTTAAAGGAACCTGAGTTGTCTTCTATGGTTTGTCTTTGGAGTCCTGGTCTCTCTGTTTCCATATCCACAGTGCCAGAACTTTGGCCCCCATCAAGCTAGGGTTTATCCCTCTTGCAAATGACCCCAGGCTTCCTTAACTGAGGTATAGCTCATACCTTCCTTGGTCTTTTCCAAGAGATTAACTCTTCAAGAAAACATCAGAGTTTTAAAAGGGGCCTCTACTAACTCTGCCCAAAGGAGTACCTGAAAATGAAAACTATCATATGTCAGGATAGTGAGGCAGATTCCAGGGTGTTTAGGCCTTTCTCTCAGTATCAATAGGCTAGCCCTTCATAGAGAGGTAAGAGAATAGAGAGAAGATTTAGACAACTGAACTTGTCTAATCAAGCAGTAATTTCCATCTTTGAGCAATAAATTTAATTTAGAAAACACATCAAATGCCAACAAAGGTATCTCAATCATCTAGTTATTTTGAAGCCATACTAAAGATGTAATACAGTAATCCCCTCCTACCCCTACCCATGGGGGTATGTTCCAAGATCCTCAATCAATGCCTGAAACTGCAGAGAGTAATAAATCCAATATTAATTGTGTTTTTTTCACATATATACTTACATAAATACCTATGATAAAGCTTAATTTAAAAATTAGGCACAGGGCCCAGCCAACATGGTGAAACCCCATCTCTACCAAAAATGCAAAAAGTTAGACAGGCATGGTGGCAAGTGCCTGCAATCTCAGCTACTTAGGAGGCTGAGGCAGGAGAATTGGGGAACACAGGAGGTGGAAGTTGCAGTGAGCCAAGATTGTGCCACTGCACTCCAGACTGGGAGACAAAGCGAGACTCTGTCTCAAAAAAAAAAAAAAATTAGGCACAATAAGAGATTAACAACAAAAATAATAAAATAGAACATACATGACAATATACTGTAATGAAAGTTATACAAATATCTTTCTCACACCAAATGTCTTATTGTACTATACAGCAGGTAACAAAAACTGCAGAAAGCAAAACTGTGGATAAGAGAGACTACTATAACACAAAATGTCTTGAGCAATATTTATGTAAGATATTTATACAGACAATGTCATACTGGAATGATCTCATAAGAACAACTTTTAATGAAACTTAAGAAATCAGTTTCAAGGTATTGAGATGGGCAGATCACTTGTGGCCAGGAGTTTGAGACCATCCTGGCCAACATAGCAAAAGCCCGTCTCTACTAAAAATACAAAAATTAGCTGGGCATGGTGGCATGCACCTGTAGTCCCAGGTACTAGGGAGGCTGAGGCACAAGAAATGCTTGAACCCGGAAGGCAGAGGTTGCAGTGAGCCGAGACTGTGCCTGCACTCCAGCCTGGGTGAGAGTGAGACTCTGTCTCAAAAACATAAAACATACATACATACATACATACATACATACATACTTATTTTTCAAATGATAGCTTTGAGAAAGAAATGTAATAAAGGTTTTCTAACTGGAGAAAATAAAAAATGCTTTCTAGGAAAAGAAAATCTTTCTCTTCCCTAGGGAAAAACCATTTTTCTTTTGCTTTCTAAATAAGCATTTCTTTTTTTTAACAAATGGGTAGGTTTTTAGAAACTTTGGAGTGTGTGTGCAGGCGCACAACAGATAACTGATCTTGTCCAAAGAGCCTACCTAATTATTTTCTATAATATTAATAATGTTTTTCCTAGTACAATGCCTTATACACAGTGGGCACACAAATATTTGATATCTGTTGAAAAAAATGAGTCATTTTTGCTTCAGTTACAAACTGCTGACATTTAATTTTTTAATTTCTTTCACAAAGAATACATTATTGCAAATTTTTCCCCAGACAAATATTTTATAATCCTTCCTATGCCCCACTGATTTTCAATTCATCAACTGTGGTGCCTGATAGAATTGTCAATCAGGGATTTTCGTTGTTTAATCAGTGTACCACTTAGAATTGTCAACCAGGGATTTGCATTGTTTAATCAGTATACCACTTATTTGAAAGCACTGCTTGAAAACTGCTCACATATACTCATGTCTTGTACTTGAAGAATTATAATTTGAGGGTTGATAAAACCCATATCCAAAAGCACATATAACAAGGCTAATAACCAAATAGCATATCCATTTGAAGCTGACTGACTAATGTCAACATTAGATTACAGAGTCTGCTAACCTTGTTAGCTAAACAAAATGAAGTGAAAAATGATGAAAACACTAAAGCTTGAGAAATCTATGGAAAAGAGAAACAAAAATTCATAAGTTTCATTTGGAATGCAAAGTCCTAAGGTTATTCTTCTTGCAAGTATCTAAAAAGTTACTTACAGGGCAGGTAAGAATGACAGAATTATTTCATTCATTTATGACAAAATTAGGAGAGTCCTAGAAAAAGGCAAGAATGACCAACAAAGGAATAATGGGGAAAATGAATCATCTTTTTAAATATCCCAATCTAGAATGCCACTTCAGTGCCTCTCTCTAGAGTCCCTAAATGTGAATCAGAAATATTTTTATCTTCCTGAAAGGAAGTTAGCCGTACTCCTAAGATTGCTAAAAGTTTAGCTGAACCAGGCCTTCTTCCTCCTTTCTGAACTATCCTGCTGATACAACTTTTTTCATAAATATAAATTCCTAGTAATGCATGAGAATAAACCAATATAGTACTTACATTCACACTGTATGACATCTAAGTTAAACTGCTGAACAGCTCCCATGCTTATTTGTTTTAACTCACTGTCCAGTAGCATCTGCATTAAGGATGTTGACAGATGCTGGCAGGCTGACATGCAAGCTGTCTGGGCAACTTTCCCCTGTTTAAAACAATCAAACCAAAAATCAAACAAATAAACAAACATAGAAATACATCATAAAGGATCAGAAAAACCATACACCTGGCATTCTTTTTGTTGCTTTTGCTTGGTACAATAGTGATTGCTGGTCTTCCTGTTTCTGTATTCTGAGTGGTTATGCTTTTATATCATAGGAATTAACATTAAGATTCTTAGTTTACTTGGCTTTCTCAGGATATAAATTCCATTAAAGCTCTAATTGCACTAAGGAAAATTAAAACATCAGTTAAAAACAATTATTTCAGATCTCTTGAAATACTGTAAGCCCTTTAAAATGCATACTAAAATATGACATTTATGACATTAAGTCACACTGACAGAACATTTTATCCATATAATGCTCCTTAAGCTCTCCTTTACATAATTAACCAAGTCAGAATAAAGGAAGTTAGCAGTATAATTTGCTACTATTACTATTTAAATTACAGCTAAAATTCAAAATATACTTTGAATCATAAGACTTTACTTCTAATTAGAACATTAGTCTATAGCATTGCTTCTCACTGGCAGAAAAAAAAGGTTGGCCTACCAATATGACTTCAAGATTATCTACAGATGTGCATTTAGCTTTAGAAATTCAGTTTCTAAATCACCTGGTAAGTTGGAAGTATGTAGTTAAATGCCTGTGGTTTTCTTTCAGTATAATATAATCATTAAAAATATTTCCTAATAATCTCCTAAAACTCTATATGAACTTTCACTGACAGCCTAAATTGAACTGTTTTCTTTAAAAAAAAAATGACCTTTTTAAATGTTTAGCCTCTACATTACACAGTTGACTCACAAAACTACATCACTTTTAGTATAAATTATTTTTTTAAAAGGCTTTGCATTTCAACTAGAAGTTTAAAATATTATAAAAACTCTTTTAGGTAAAGTTCTCCCATGTAATACTGCTCCTAGGATGGCTACCTCCAATTGACAACTACGTGAATTGGTGACGGATTGACTACAATGATAGGATTTCAAGGTCTATGAATATAGTTAGAAATAACTACTTTTGGAAGATATGCCATGTTTTACCTCATTTGCATTAACAAATATTTACCCAGTGATATTTGATAATTATATTTGTTTCCTACTTATCTCAAAGGCCAGAAAGCTATAAAAATGACAAAAAAATCTCCCAAACAGAAATGTTACAATATATTAGTACAAAAACATCTTACATAGGGTTGATTTGTTAGAAAGGTAATAAAGAACGTTAAGTACATGTTTAAGATGTTTATTGCAACATTTGTTCTTCAAATCACACATTAAAAGTCAGACTAGAAACAACTTTTTGAATGAGTTTTTAGCATTTAGACACTATGCACAGTGAAAAACTGCATATCTGAAATGGAATGTCAATTTCTCAATCAAAAACTTTAGAGATAAAAGCCGATGCAAACAATATATTTGACAGATACTGATGAACTGCCAAAAAGGAATGTAACAAACAATGCAAAACCCAGCATGCTTCAAGATCCCCCAAACCCAAGAGGAATTAGTCTGGGAGACATGCAGCTCCATTCCCCAAGCAGAATAATATCAATAAGAATGAGAAGTGGGGAAGCAGAGAAAGGAGAAATCAATGGCATGTCATTTAATTACAATGTAATAGGCTTCAGAATACTTAATGGAAATGTCATACTAATGGAACAACTAGTGCATTTTAGTTTAATGTGCTTCTCCATCAAATCAGCTCCATGTCCTATGCATGCTGCCACTATCATGTACTAACTACAAAAGCTGATTAATAAATTGCCAGAAAATTACTAGTAAATTCATTTCATAAGCAAACACACTGTATAATATAAGTGGCATTGCCTTATGGAAACCTTTAAAATTTAACATGGGTTCAGGTGCTACAAATGATTAGACAGCAATAGCACTGGAGCTGAAAACAAGAGTAGACACAGACTATTCCACAAACCTGGTGGAAATAAGTCATGAAAACACACACACACACACACACACACACACACAAATTTAGCTCTTTAAATACCATATGTAACACTAAAATCCTAACATTGAATTTTATTTGATTAGGCATATTAAATACAGGCTTATTGTTCTCAAAGATAGAAGATTAAAATATTTATACAATATTTTATAAATCTTCAGGTGAAATAAATAGCTCAAAATTTAAGTTCATAAAATCAAAGTTTCACGCTCTTTAAAATTTTTAAAAGTTATATTCCATAAGATTATACATTTAAATGTCTACTTTGTAACCACAAAATGTATACAATTATTCTTAAAACTTCATCTACTACATATTTTTAGACAGAAAATTGTAATATTCCAAAAATTTACATACCCAAAAATATATTTGATAATTTATTTCTAATGTCTATAGCCATTGGCACACTGGTATAATCTTCTGAACACTATTATTATTATTGATGCCTTTAATAATATATCATTTTCAAGAATAATAATCTGAGTACTTATACAATTATCTTTTTAAAAACTAGCCCTTTGCATTAGAGATGCTCTAGTTTTTAACATTATAACAAGAAAAGCCAAAATAAGTGAAGTGACTGAGAAAACACGGCACATTTAATAAATTTCAAGCATCTCAACACTTCTCCTGCCCTCATCTGAAAAATTAACTGCAACTATTACCAACATTTTCCTTCTCTTAACAAAGTTCAGTAAGTAAGTAAAAACACCTGCTAAGCTTTTAAAGGTAACTACTTTTTTTACACTGATCTAACATTTTGCTGAAAAACAACTTGCAAAGAGAGAAAACCCTTAGACAAACTTCTTATATTTCAAAGGAACTTGTAAAAGAGAATCTGCTGACATATTAGATCCTTTTTGCATTACCGAAAAGCTTTTCTTCTAAGAACAATTGTGGTAAAGAGACATTTGGCTCCTAGGAAATTCCCAAAGGGTCAACCATATGCATCCTTCCATGGCACCTTCACAGTGCTGCTTTCTAGATTCATGTCTCAAAAACAGCTTTCATCATTTACTTGTGTGTCAGTCAATATGATTTATGGACTGCATTCAACAAAGTCAAAGCATATAGAATGAGAAATATGACTACAATCTGCTAATTTGTTTTGTATTGAGCCACTTAAGAGTCAAAGACCTGATGTCAGACTGAGACCAGCAACACAATTAACCAGCCGGTGACAGATTCATCCATCCTCCCTGCCAGGCTGTGCCAATCAAAGACAGCGTGAGGCAACATTTGGTGAAATCAGTAAGAAAACTCATTCTCTAAGTAACCTATGTGAGACCTTGATTGACACTTTTTGAATTTAGTTTGTGGAACACAGCCACTCTTTACCCAATAGTCCCTCACTGCAAGCTGTGAAATAAGGCTTTTAATGCCAATCACAGTTAACAATAAACCACAAACCACCAACCCTCAGTTTAAAAGGAGTTAAGAAAACACATCTGTTTGTATGTCAAGACAAATTTCCAAAATAATTTACTATCATAGATTAGGCTAAAGATACTCTGTTTCCTATGAAATATCATAAAATAATAAGGTAAAAACAACATAGTTTATTAGATTATGGCTCGAATCTGGTTTGTTTTCAAAGTAATGTTTTCATAGATCTACTCTAATTGTAAGAGAAATGTACAACACTTAAAAACTAATTTGGCCCATTTAAATTTTCATTTGAAGTTTTCATTTCTGTCTCACCATTTTCTTATTTCAAAAAGGTTTGATTTCAACAGTAATTATTTGAAAGCACTTTCTGATGCTGCTTTCATTCTCTCAAGTACATTTAATGTTAAAATGTGCTCATGAAATCACATTCTTTGAGTACTGGTCTACTCTTCCTTAATGATCCCAGGACAGCCCACTCTTCTTTACTTATATTCCCACAAAAGCTTAACTTTGTACAATAAACTACTTTTTTACTTAGTAAAAAGAAACATACATACTCAAATATATTGGGCATCATATTATTCTTTACACTGATAAAAGGTTTTGTTTAAAAAGGCTAACTCTTGTCAGACAAAGAAAAAAGGAAACTGAAATAAAATCATGGTCAACTGGAATATTAAACCCAACACTGATGAGTGACTTTATTAATTCTGATTCTGCATGGCTTTTTAAAGTTATCCAAATTAAAGCAGTAAAATATTGTCATTTTATACAAACTCTATCATAATTTGCTACATAAATTTCAGTTATGAGACTATGAAATAGTCTTTTTCAGAGGCAAAAGAAGGGAAGTATTTTAATGAATTGGTCAGTCTCCTAAAGAGCTACAATTTATAGTATTTAAAAATACACATACTGAAAGAATGAGGTATTTCATCAGATGGAAACACTAAAATTAGAAATTAAAAAGTTAATTAAAATATTTAAAAAGAGGTATAGTTGAAAACCAGGTATTTTAAATCAAGAAATCTGTTTTTCTTACTTCTATTTTATATAAGAACCACTAATCTAGAGTTTTACTATATGAAACATCTTGCTCAAATGTAAATACTGTTATGAAATCAGGAGAAAGATACCTAAAACATTAGTATAGAATATGAAAATTTCCCCAAGATTATTTCACAAATGCACAAGAATTTCTCTACCTAATAAGATCAGTTTTAATTCATTTTCTGGCTCAACACTGTATATAACACTGAAATGTCTGATTCCCAATAACATAGTATAGGTAAGTTATAAAGGTTTAAATATCAAGATGAATTCCCTTAGTAAGTTTACATAACATTAATACTACCTTGAAGACAAATTTTTGAAGTTATGCTCTAAAATTCATAGATCTATCAAAATACACTCATTTTAACACCCCCAACATTCCCCCAAATACCTCTTATCACTCTACATTCCTCTTATACTCTCTAACTACTTCCATCTCTAACTACTTCCAGCCCTGAAAGAATGAATTGGGAGACATCGGTTAACCACAATCCCACAGTCAACTATAAATTCCCATTCTCCCCTCTCAGGCTGTTCTTCCAACAATGACCAATCATAAGGGTATGAGACAGTAACAGAAATGTCTACTCTTAAGACGCACACACACAAACAGAGAGAGAGAGAGAGAGAGAGAGAGAGAGAGAGAGGGAGGGAGGGAGGGAGAGGGCGGGAGGGAGGGAGGGAAAGAGAGAGAGAGTAAGTGCACACATGATCACCTAAAGTTGAAAAAATGTTTTCCTGAACTGGGAAAATTTCAGGACTGCATAATATATGGAATATTTTTATTTCCCTCAAAACTTCCCCCATCCCAATCATAGGGCTCACCAAACTTTGGTAGTCTTTTTTGTTTTTTAAACAATCTTTTGAGCATGGCCTTAGAAGACATGTAGTTTTCCACATTTTTAGCTTTCTACAAGTATCACTGCTTCTGACATGGCAATCCTATGATATTGCCAAACTCACCCTAACTTTAATAGGCAGAAAGAGAATGCAAGGACCAGTACAGCAATAAAAGCCCAGAGAGGTCAAAGTTTTGAAGAAATGCTTCTGCTTCCAGGTTCCTGGATATATTAGAAATTTAACAGGAGTAAAATAGTAAATGTTGCATGTACTTTTGCCCAGAATAGCAGCAAGAGGAAGTTACTTTGTGTTGTGTGGAAGCTAAATTTACTTGATAAAGCAAATTGCTACTATCTCATACAAAAAAAAAAAAAGCAAATTGGGCAGCTAGGCGTATATTTAAACAGTGAAGTGATAAAACATTAAAGCCCTATAACTCTTCTCACTAAGAAAAGCAAGAGAAATTAAAGATGAGCTTGAATTTTTCCCATAGTGACTCCAAGTGGTACAGACAAGCCACAGAATTAAGAATAAAAAACTGAAGCAGGCCAGGCACAGTGGCTCACACCTGTAATCCCAGCACTTTGGGAGGCTGAGACGGGTGGATTACAAGGTCAAGAGATCAAGACTATCCTGGCCAATACGGTGAAACCTCGTCTCTACTAAAAATACAAAAATTAGCTGCACATGGTGGTGCATGCCTGTAGTCTCAGCTACTCGGGAGGCTGAGGCAGGAAAATCGCTTGAACCAGGGAGTCAGAGGCTGCCGTGAGCCAAGATCACACCACTGCACTCCAGCCTGGCAACAGAGGGACGGAGGGAGACATAGTCTCAAAAAAAAAAAGTTGCCAAAATCAGCCCGGGCACAGTGGGTCACGCCTGTAATCCCAGCACTTTGGGAGGCCGAGGTGGGTGGATCACCTGAGGTCAGGAGTTTGAGACCAGCCTGACCAACGTGGTAAAACCCCAACTCTACTAAAAATACAAAAATTAGCCGGGCGTGGGGGAGGGCATCTGTAATCCCAGATACTTGGGAGGCTGAGGCAGGAGAATCACGTGAATCCTGGAGGGCAGTTGCAGTGAGCCAAGACTGCACCACTGCACTCCAGCCTGGGCAACAAGAGCAAGACTCTGTCTCAAGAAAAAGAAAGAAATTGCCAGAATCACTGACAGGTTAGACAACAGAAGTAGTTTACATATAATCATTAGTAAACTGGACAAATGTCATTCAAGCCAACTGGCTCCCTCTTAATACATGTAGGTGGCAGATTATTATTAACAGCCATACACAGACAGCACAAAGTAGGCCTTTATCACTGATGAATTTAGGTTTCAATTTTTGATAATGACTCGTAGAGTCTAGTACAAGTAGAACTTTATTTACTGAGGCACACATTTAAAAAAATATGTTCTACTTTTACACTGTTGGTGGGAGTATAAATTAGTTCAACAATTGTGGAAGACAGTGTGGCGATTCCTCAAGGGCCTAGAAATAGAAATTCCATTTGACCCAGCAATCCTATTACTGGGTATATATCCAAAGGATTATAAATCATTCTATTGTAAGGACACATGCACATGTATGTTCAATGCAGCACTGTTTACAACAGCAAAGACTTGGAACCAACCCAAATGCCCATCGATGATAGACTGGACAGGGAAAATGTGGCAAATATATACCATGGAAAACTATGCAGACATAAAAAACGATGAGTTCATGTCCTTTGTAGGGACATGGATGAATCTGGAAACCATCCTTCTCAGCAAACTGACACAAGAACTGAAAATCAAACACCGCATGTTCTTACTCATAGGCGGGTGTTGAACAATGAGAACACATGGACACAGGGAGAGGAGCAGCACACACTGAGGTCTGTGGGGGGCAGGACTACAGGAGGGACAGTAAGGGGTAGGGAGTTGGGGAGGGATAACATAGGGAGAAATGCCAGATAAAGGTGATGCGGATGGAGGAGACAGCAAACAACATTGCCATGAATGTACCTATGCAACAATCCTACATGTTCTTTATGTGTACCCCAGAACCTAAAATGCAATTATATATATATGTAAATTACAAAAAATAAAAAGAAAAAGAAAAACATGTTCTGTCAAATGGGTTTAAGTCGGGGAAAAATAACTCAAGAGACAGTGCAGTCAAAGTCTCAACCTCCCTGGGGTTGGGGAGGGAGAGCATTGGGATAAAGAGCTAATACATGCTGGGATTCACACCTAGGTGACGGGTTGATAGGGGCAATAAAGCACCATGGCACATGTTTATCTATGTAACAAACCTGCACATCCTGCACATGTACCCTGGAACTTAAAGGAAAACACACAAAAACAAAGATTCAACCTTCCTAACTCAACATGTCTTTGCTTTCTTCTGTTAGTTAACATAAATTATCTCCAGAGTCAATTGCATTTCATAGCATTTTCTGAAAGTAATTATATGACATAGCAGTATTGTCAAATCTGGGGATTTTTCAAAGTTTTGATGTATACTCATCCTGAATGATAAGGGTGTACTGAACAAGTAATGTTCACTAGGCAAAGACTTAGATTGTGGGAATGGGGTTGCAGTAAATACTATTTCTAGTTGATAGAATACCTGGGATAGGATTTTAAAAGAGTAAAAGGAATTTCAGTAACAGGAATAAGAACAGAAAGGAGAGGATATATGTTAGGAACATTTACATTTCAAATGCTAGATAAGATTTTGTTTTTCCCTAAGAAGAATTTTCAATATTTATATATTCAAAGAATACTTGCTAGTTCTTATTCTGTCAAGAGCTCACAAGTAAAGGTGAAAAAGAAAAACAAATATGGGAAAAAAAGCAAAATATGATAAAGCCATCAAAAAGGTTAAGCGCTAAGGCAATTCAGAAGGGCAATACTGGGCTGGGGTGAGAAAGAAATATCTGCACTGGGTCATGAATCACACTGCGTCATACACTGGGTTAGATATCTACAAGCACAGTTTGGGATCAGGTTGTAGAGAAAAAACATACAGGAAAAGCACAAACCACCTTTGATACAAGTAACAATAACAACTAATATTTTTCGAGTATTTATTATATGCCAAGCACTTTTCTAAACATTTTAGGTATACTATTTCACTTAACCTCACAAAAATCTGTAGGGTATATGTTGCCATAGGCCTCATTTTATAGATGAGGAAAGACCACAGAGAAGTTTCCAAATGCATCTTAATATTAAGATGTATTTGAGGTGAGTCCAGTGCTTTCACAATCTAATCCCAGAGAATCTTGATTGCTTCACAAACAACTAATATTACCTTCAAATTTAGGTTTCCATGGAACTAAAAATACATCAAGGATGCTGCCAAAGTAATTAGCCTTTAATTTAAATACCTAAGCAGAGAAAAATAAGCCTGCAGGAAGTTCATTATTTTCTAATTTACATGCTAGCTTTAGTATATATCTACTTACCGACATGGCTGCGTGATCACTGTTGTTAGTCTGAGAAGGAAGTCAGCAAGGCAATCAAATAAAAAAGGAAAATGTATTCTAATAACAGCAGAATCAGTGTTTAAAGTAGCAAAAGGAAATATACTCTAAAACAAGCAAGTTCATTCTGTGTGTGCTGCTAATTTAGAGGCATTCATTTATCACATAAATGTGACCATCATTTTTTATTTTGAAGATTTATGCATGAGTTTTTACATCCACATTAATCAGACAAATCCTCCTTCAAACTTTTGTCTCTCTCATCAAGTTGTCTAGTCAGAATTAAAATACCAAGAGCTTTAGCAGTTATCTCTACTGAATAAGCAAATTTAGAACACATCAGTTCTTTGACAAGGTTCTGTGCTATAAAGCAGTGATTCTCAAACATTAAGCAAAAAATTCAGCTTGTTAAGCTTCAGATTTTAGTTCAGTTAGGTCTACGGCCAAGCACTATAAATATTTAACAAGAAGCTCTTCCACAGATGATTTTAATGCAGAAAGAAATGCCAGTTTCTTCACAACTGACAAAATTACAGAGAATATATGATTCTGAAGATGTTTAGGATAAGTCTACATCTTCACATTATCTGCTAAAATAGTTTAATATAAATTACTCAAGGAAAGATGGCATACTAAATTATTTTACAGCTAATTATTTAAATGTTTTGTCTCCCCTAAGGAGTGAGTTGCAAGCCAAAGTAAAAACTAAGTCACTCGTCTCAATTTAAATACATATATGCCTCTGCTATAGTTCTGTACTTATTATAAAGCACTGGTTTCTTCCTCAAAAATATTAAGGATTCGTTAAACATTAATTTTGTAAAAGAATAATAATTAATTAAAATACCCTTAAAGTACTATTTAATTTTTTTAATTACCTAATTTACTTTTCAAATTTTAGTAATAAAATATATGGTATTTAAGCACTTTTTTTTTTTTAGAAGATATTTACCCAGACACATGGATTTAACTTTATCACATTAGGTCAATGAAACTTGGAATTTATGTATTAGTGGAAGTTGAACTTCAGTATCGCCTACACTGAAGGTCCCCCACTGCCCTATTCACCAAATACACAATGAGTAAAGAAGAAGCCACAAGCAGAAATGGAGGAAGCAGATACTCACTAGGCAGGCTGGTCAACCTAATTAACCCTAGAAAGTAGTGGGACAGCAGTTGTGTTAGCCAAAGAACTCTTCTGGAAGACTGGACTAGACCCTAAATAAACACAAACTTTTTTCTAGATTAACTTCAAATCAATTTTGTTTGCATTAGTAAAATTATCCCACCATCATAGTTATTTTATTCAACTATATTTTCCATAATCTTTCCAACTGTATATAAAGATGTCTTAGGAAATACAAAGGCCACAAAGTCAAGATGAAATTCACATAAAATTTAGTAACCTAGTCAAAGTCAGTTACAACATTCAACATCTACCATATATGTCATAGGATGTGATAATGAAAGTATCATACTTCACAATATATCATTTTATATAAATTAGATTCAATAAATCAGATCAACATTATTCAATGCCATTGTAAATTTTTAAAAATTAACATTCAAATAAGAAAACAATTTTGAGGATACACACACACACACACACACACACACACACACAATATATGGTTACGTTTTCATTTGATAGGGAAAACACATAAATTATTCAAAGCTGCATATGCCATAATTTAAAAGCTGCTTTTTCAGTTCTTTCTACTGTCACATAAAATAAAGGGTTATTAAAGCCACTCTTGTACTGTTGACTATTAGCTTTTTCCTTTGTAGTTTTCAATCACGTAAAAGGCCATCTGAACACATATACTTAGAAAGAAGTGTGAACCAAAAAATAAAAGGCAGAAAAGTGCAGAGCTAAAAGAGGACATGAGGTGTCAGAATAAATAAATCCACATTTGGACTGAAACTTTACATCTGTCTGAAAGAATCATGCTTAGAAACATACAATACTATACACAGGGACTTTAGAGATGATCTAATCCAATCATTTTACTTCTAGGAGAAGAAAGCAAGTTGTTCAGAAGTTAATGTGTCTGCTTCCCATCCGTCCTGAGATACAAGTAAAATAAAAAGTATGGAATTGCAAAAAAGAATAAAATGCTTTTAACAGCAAAAAAATGAAGGTGTATGTGGGAATTCATCAAGGAGTGCTTTCTGCAAGACAGAAAGCAGATGAAACACAGAAAAGAAAACCACTGCCCATTATATGCTAACAGAGAAGTCGCACATTAGAGCTGGGAGTCAGCTGTGCATTAGAAGTCCAGAGTTGCAGGTATGAAAGAGCATGATGAGAACCAGGATGGAAAACAGGGAAAATAACTGAATATTTCTGAAACAATTATACCAATGATCCCCCACCCAGAGGGGCAGAGAGCCGGAGAGCACAGGCAATTTCCCGAATGAAAGAATATTTTGGAGACAGCTGAGTCCCCTGGTATAGGAAGAAGTAAAGGGGAGGATAGGAGAGCAGAGGGGGATGGGGCAAAAGGAAAAAGAAGGAGAAGGTGGTAACATGTTCTTATGATGCTTCTTAGAATTCAATTTTTTTTTTTTTTTCTCAGACAGGGTTTGGCTCTGTTGCCCAAGCTGGAATGCAGTGATACAATCATGGCTTACTGCAGCCTAGATTTCCTGGGCTCAAGCAATCCTCCCACCTTCAGCTCCCAAGCAGCTGGGACTACACGTGTGCGCCACCGCACCCAGCTGACTTTTTGTATTTTTTGTAGAGACAGGGTTTCACCATGTTGCTCAGGCTGCAGAATTCAAATTTTGAAACAGACACTAAAACCTGGATGCCAGAAGACAATGAGAAATGCAATGAAAGTCATCAGAGAAAAAGCTCATCAACCTATAATTATATAACCAGCCAAATATCAATCAAGCAAGCATGAAGACAGAAGAAGACGTTTTCTAACATGCAAGGACTTAAATAGTATACTTCCCTTTTGTCGGAAAGTTACTGAAGTTCTGGAGAAGTTTTGTGGGAATTCCACAAAACCAACTGGTAAAGTATTTAAACAACAACAACAAAAAAAAAAAAAAAAAAAAAAAAGAAGCATGGGATCTAAGAAACAGTTCCTAACACAGGACAGCAAAGAAGGAAAGTCCCAGGACAATAGCTATGCCCCAATTCTAGACAGCAACTGGTACAGGTTACAGACAAAGACCTCTTACAGAGATGCCTCCTGGAAAGAAGACATTTTCACACAACTGAAATAAAGAAAATTATAACACTCAATATGACGAAGGTACAATACTCACTTATCAAAAAGCAAAAAAATTGTTTTAAATATTAAGCCAATGCAAATGTGTATAATTTCATTAAATAATGGAATCTAATTTAAAAAATATATTTGACCATGATGTTAGAATTATTCTCCTTCAAATGCCCAGAACTTGGATACTGGAACCAAAAATGAAAGGAAAACAAAAAATCCAAGCATACTATGCTTTGTGTAAAGGGAACAATACTGACATAATCGTAACAAACACCAGAACTATTTACTGGTGTTTAGCTTGGGAAGCCAGCCTAAGGTAAAGGACAGATTTGATTGTGGTTGTCAAACAGAATGTAAATACTAACAACCGGAATAAAGATAAAAATAATAGTACTGCTATCAGAAGAGAATAGATGGAAGAACTGATGGAGCAAAGGAGAGGGAGGCTAACTCCTTTATTTTAAATAGAAGGGAATTAAGATACTGATTAGAGTAGAAAGAACCAGAAGCCCATTATAATTATTTTATATAAAGAAATAAGCTGGGTGCAGTGGCTTGTGCCTGTAATCTTCTCACTTTGAGAGGCCAATGCAGGTGGATCACTTGAGGCCAGGAGCTCAAGACCAGCCTGGACAACACAGCGAAACCCTGTCTCTACTAAAAATAAAAAAATCAGCAGGGCGTGGTGGCACATGCCTGTAATTCCAGCTACTCTGGAAGCTGGGACACAAGAATAATTTGAATCCGGAGGGAGGAGGTTGTAGTGAGCCAAGATCCCTCACGCCAATGCATTACATATAGCCTGGACAACAGAGTAAATGCTGTCTCAAAAAAAAAAAAAAAAAAAAAGAAGAAGAAGAAGAAGAAAGGAACAGAAGAAATTTAAAAATGTAAAATCAATAGTTTAAAAAAGGGAAAAGAGAGGTTGTTCTGTGTACTTTATATTTCATAGGATCACTAGATATTCTGTTTTTTTTTTTAATTAAGATAACCACCAGAAGAAATAAATCCAAATGGTGAAAAATGGCAGTCTGGAAGACTGGGAATGGAGGTGGGGAAAGGAAGAGGAGAGGTGCTATTTTCCATTCCAAACTCTTCTGGGCTACTTATCACACTATTTACGTATATTAACCAGAATGAAAGCAAGTTAAAATAGAACAACCTTTACTTTTAGCTGTATGCAATAAAGTAGACATTGGCAAATTAATCCAGAGGTTAATGCGTCTGCTTTCAAAATGGTGGTTAACTGGAAGAATCAGGCCTAAAACCCAAATCTCAAAATTTCAAAATCATGCTGAATTCTTAGAAAAAAATTATTAAGGAGAGAATGATTTTATATCCAAGTAATGTATCTTTATTTCTTCTTGAACATATATTTGTTTCTCAATTAAAGGAAGAGTATTTTGTTCTAAGATCATTAAGGGAAACTAAAAATGCAAATATGTAGTGACATCAGATACATTTAGTGGGAAAAGAGACTGTGGCTCTAAGCAAAAAGAATTTACAAAGGATACGAAATTGGCCTATCAGTAAAACACCACAGCCCAAAGCAAACAATTAAACCAAGGGAAAAAATTCTTCAAAGCAAATACCTGAAAAGAGAATTACCTTAAAAGGGACAGATGGAGAAGCAGATACTGAATTTTTAAATCAAGTAACACTTGTACATTTCTCCATCTTGAAAACAGTTTCTACTATAACATTTTTAATCTTATTATTGAGCATATACTGTTTTTGATTTCTTGAGTTAATAAAAAATACACAATTTTTCTTTGA